AGCCCCTCCCTCAACCAGAGAACCTGGAGACCTCGCTCCCAGGGTTTTCCTGCGCACCCTCTCCATTGCTGCTTCTGATGCTGTGTGTCCCCAGGGAAGGCCTGGCTTTTTCCTTGTTGAGCCCCGAATCCAGCAGTTGATGTCTGGCTGCTGCACCCCGCCCTTTGCCTTCTCATCAAAAGACTGTGTCCCAGCTGCTTGGGGCAGAGCTGGGAGCGGAGCCCAGGGGCCCTGGTCATGTGGGGGGTGGTGAAGAGTCCCGACGGGGTCTGCAGATGTCCTGGACGCCAGCTCTGTGCTTCGGGGTATGTGATTCTGGGCGAGCGGTTGATCTCGTGGCCTCAGTGTTCTCATCTGTAAAATGGGGATAGCGCCATGTGTGTCCGAGCGTTGTTGTGGAGATCACACCTGGTTCTGAATGTAGGACCCAGTACGACGCTGACCCATCCATCTCTGAGTAGGGAGCACAAATGTAATACTGTAAATAGTGCTCGGCTTCTATGGAAAAAAAAGGAAATTGGCAAATGGGACTGTGATTTGGCTCTAAAATAACTACTGAATGTTCCAGAAACAAATGGGACAGGATTCCTTTGTAGCCAAAGCAGGTTTTCTCTGTGTTTCACCCCAGTCTCTGTCCCCTCACGGCCCCTCCCGCCACCCAGCCTGCGGCTGAGGGCCCTTCTCCGCCTGCTTTCAGCCTCACCTGTGTTAAGTGGGAAGTATGTCGAGACTGGCTGTTGGCAAGGACTGAATAAATATTAATTTTCTCTTCCCAAGAAACGAGATGGTGTGTGTAGAATAAGTGAGAGAATTTGTGTAGGAGTGCCCAGCACTGGGCTCAGTATATAAAATAGGTGCCCAGTAAACAAACTCAAAGTGAAGCTTAGGGCCTGCATGCAGTAGGTGCTTAATAAAGGAACAAATGCACAGGCAAGCACCTCGCCAGGACTTGGTGTACAGGAGGGCCTTGTCATTTGAAATTGTGCGTGTGGATAGCCCAGCATGGACCCTTTTATTTAATGATGTTTACTTTGAATTTATATTAGTTCACACAAACACTCCATCCATGCTTTTGTTCCGGCCCTCCGGTCCAGTTTAAGAACCCATTGTGGCCCTCGAGTCAAAAAGTTTGCCCACCCCTGCTCTAGGAGAATAAGCAGGGAAGGTAGGCCTTTCGCCAGACGCCGACCCATCCATCTCTGAGTAGGGAGCACAAATGTAATACTGTAAATAGTGCTCGGCTTCTATGGAAAAAAAAGGAAATTGGCAAATGGGACTGTGATTTGGCTCTAAAATAACTACTGAATGTTCCAGAAACAAATGGGACAGGATTCCTTTGTAGCCAAAGCAGGTTTTCTCTGTGTTTCACCCCAGTCTCTGTCCCCTCACGGCCCCTCCCGCCACCCAGCCTGCGGCTGAGGGCCCTTCTCCGCCTGCTTTCAGCCTCACCTGTGTTAAGTGGGAAGTATGTCGAGACTGGCTGTTGGCAAGGACTGAATAAATATTAATTTTCTCTTCCCAAGAAACGAGATGGTGTGTGTAGAATAAGGGAGAGAATTTGTGTAAAAGTGCCCAGCACTGGGCTCAGTATATAAAACTGGCCTCAGTATATAAAACAGGTACTCATTATGGCCATCATCTTCCAACAAGAAACTCAAAGTGAAGCTTAGGGCCTGCATGCAGTAGGTGCTTAATAAAGGAACAAATGCACAGGCAAGCACCTCGCCAGGACTTGGTGTACAGGAGGGCCTTGTCATTTGAAATTGTGCGTGTGGATAGCCCAGCATGGCTCCTGCCGCACAGCAGGTGCGTGGTGACTGAGGTCACCTGTGAAAGCACCTGGCACAGTTTGCGGTACTGAGTCAGGGTTGGATTTCTCTCTCCCCCATGACCTCCACTAAGCCATGTTGCCCCTGTGTCTCTAAGCATGGTTCTGCTCCCCTCTGGTGTAGAATGATCTGCCGCCTCATCCCTGCTCACCCACATTCCCATCAATTGTCCCCCCTACTACCCCCTCTTCCAGGAAGCCTTCCCAGATTACCCTCAGGTCTCTGACTTTGCCCTCTTCCCTGCCCCCTGCACCCCACAGTGGCAGGCATTTGTGTGCAGGAGCTGATTCACCGCTTGCAGGCTGGTGGCCTTGTTCCTGTTCTCAGTGTAGTTCTCACCTGTGTTTGTGTTTCTCCTGGATCACTTGCAGGCTCTCCCAGGGCAAAACCTGGGCCTCCACTGTGAACTCTTCTCCCCGAGTCCCGAGTGTGAGCTCTGCACACTCTAGAGTTCAGTGAGATGCCTGCTAGTCTCTACCTAACAACTTGGCCACCTTCCCCACTTTTTCCTTTTTGATGGCTTCTAAAGATGAAAATGAAAAGCTCCCCGGAGAGCGAGGTCTCCGAGTTCCAGGGTTTATGTATAAAGATAGCATAACGAGGCATTTCCTGTGTAGATCTATTCTGCTTTCAGGATGTTCCCAACTGGCTTATAACAATGGGACGCTTTTTGTTTAGCTCCAGAGAAAGAGACACATTGGGAATGACATTGTGGCCATCATCTTCCAAGAAGAAAACACACCGTTTGTCCCAGATATGATTGCCTCCAACTTCCTACACGCCTACATCGTGGTGCAGGCCGAGAGCCCGGGCACGGACACCCCGGCCTACAAGGTGAGGAGAAAGTCTCTTGGAGGGCGCGGTGGCCGAGGCGCCTCACCACACTGACGGATTCAGCGAGACCAGGAAATACCAGTTCCCGGTGGTTCCTCGACCTGGTCTCCAAGGTGCCACTCCTGGCTGTGGTGTGACTGATTTTCCACGGCTCTCTGGTTTCTGGGATTTGGGGGCTCGACTCTTAGTGGGGAGCACCCATCCTCTGAGGTCATCTCATCCATCTGGTCCTCTCCAGGGCTCAGCACCATCTAACCGAAGGGTTGAGAAGCCCGGATGCTCCTATTGGGAATCTGGTCACGCCATTGGCAGAAGCAGAGGGGAGGAGGAAACACAGAGAGGACTGTCAGGAAAGGGAGAGGAAGAGGGTGGCAACAAAGAAAAGAAAGAAAAGGGGTGTTCATGGTGAGAAGGGTGGGGCGCAGGGGCCTGGGAGCCCCTGGCCCCCGGGTGGCCCCTCTGGTTTAGCTCTTCTGGAATAAATGGTTGATCTTAATTTGAAGACTGCCAGGGGGTGGATTATGAGTACTTGGGTCTCAGCCCCCTAACCCAGTGGTCGGCAAACCGCGGCTCGAGAACCACATGCGGCTCTTTGGCCCCTTGAGTGTGGCTCTTCCACAAAATACCACGTGCGGGCACACGTACAGTGCGAAGTTGACCTAAAACTTTAAGTAAAGTTCATTAAGTTAATTTTAGGGAACGTTGTGGAGTGAAAGAAGATGCAGTGTCGAGGATTGAGAAAGGTATGTTGAGATGGTTTGGACATATAGAGAGGATGAACGAAAGGAGATAGGTGAAACAAGTATACAAGACGAGTGTGGATGGGAGAGTTGGAAGGGGTCGACCTCAGCGAATGTACCTCAATCAGACTGAGGACGTTTTTAGCAAAGGCCAGCTTAGGAGTACCCTAATTAAGTTAATAACAATGTACCTACCTATATAGTTTAAGTTTAAAAAATTTGGCTCTCAAAAGAAATTTCAATCGTTGTGCTGTTGATATTTGGCTCTGTTGACTAATGAGTTTGCCGACCACTGCCCTAACCAATCAGCAGTCTTTCAGAGGAGCTCAAAATCCTCATGGATGCGGGTGAGCCCACCACCTCAGCGGCCCTCACACTGCCCTCTGGTGGCTGAATCACTAACTCTCCCCTCTGCCTCTCCGCCAGAAATAACCCCCGCCTCTTGGGCATCAGTTTCTCTGCGTCACAGTGTTGGGGGGCATGAGACCCCAGGGAGACAGACTGAAGCAGGGTTCCTAAGTGGATGTCATATAGCCCTTGAACCCCCTGCAGATGCGTGCAGAATGTCGAGTGTATGCGCTTCTTGGCGTTTTCTCTGCGTTTCCTAGGGGGAGAGGCCGCAGCTCAGGTTCTCAGCGGACTGCCTGCTCCCCACAAGGTTAGGAGCCGCTGTTACAGGGAGAGGGAAAAGCCTGTCATGCTGATGGGAAGCTCTGAGGCCCGGAAACGTTTCCTGTGTCATAACTTGGGCCAGTGCTGGTTCTGGGGGTTTACGAAGCCCTAGCGCCTCGTAGCCGTCTGCATGGAGTATCCATTTTGCTGGAAGTTTTAGGGAAAATAAAATGATGTGATATTCTTGCTATATCAGTACAAAGCCAGACAGATTAAGTGCAGAATTCACATCAACTTTAAAGCCAAGTATGAGGCTTCAAAAAACCCCCACACCAACCAACAAATACACAACCAAACAAACCCCACACCTCTCTGCTGAGGAGGAGAGCCCATCTCCTTCATGCCCATGTCCATGTTCATGGCCTCCTGTCACTGAGCGGTTTCAGCCGAAAAGGTAGAGAAGCCGTGGTTTGGGCATCTCCCTGCAGGCTCACTTGCTTTGACCGAAATGGGCGAACAGCTGCTGGATTTGTTAGTGGAAGCAGATGTTATTCACTCAGTGCCTACTGTGTGCCAGGGGTGGGCACATGCAAGTGACCTTCAGAACCAGCCTTCAGGGAAGAGAGAGAATAGCTACTACTTGGGATCCCCAAAGAAAGGTATGTGATGGGTGAGAGGCGAGGAGGCTCCCAGACCCGGCCAGGCAGTCCTGTGCATGTGCATATGCGTGGCTCGTCTAGTCTGCTGGGCCTCTGCTGGCCGAATGGGCCCTCTTGTGGCCGTTTAGCATTTTAAAAGTTTCTGATAGGAAGTGGAGCTCAGCTAACTGGCTTCTCCACTTCCCAAGAGCTTAGGACAAACAGAGAAAAGTCAGAGGTCCCCACATCGGCACCCCACCTCCAGCTTTGATGCTAGAAGTCTTCACCAAGTCTTCCCAGCCACAGCCTGCGGTCCGGGTAGAAGCGCTTCCCTGAGAGAGGTGGTGAGAAGCAGGGAGGTAGGATCCACAGGAAGAGCCGGGCTGGCCCCCGGATGTGGGACCTTGTGCTCCACCTGTCAGGAGAGCGTGGAGGTTGGAAGGCAAGATCTGTGAATGGGGCCAGGAAGGCAGGGGGCAGGGAGGGAGACCAGCCTTCCGAGGTGCTCCCCAAACCTCGGTGAACCCCAGGTGATGAGCAGACTGAGGAGGACTTGGTCAGGTGCCTCAGGGGGCCCAGGGTGGAACGAGACCTTAGCTGACGCTTGCAGACTGAGGGGCTCTGGAAAAGCAGGTGAGGGAGGTTTCCCTGGGCTCAGCAGTGCCTTGGGAAAGCCCCTCGGGGGAGGACAAACAATAGGAGAGGAGGGGAGGGTGGGGTGGGGTCGTGCAGGAAAGGGCCCAGGCCTAGAGTCTCGGAGCCTGGGGTTCTGGTCCTCTGACTGTGACCTTGGCCAGTCCCTGCGCCCTCTGGGCCTCTGATTCTGTCTTTGTGAGATGAGGAAGTTGGGCTAGACAACCTCAGAGTTCCTTCCAGCCCTGATGTGGTCGGAAGGGGCAGGGGGAAGTTGAGAAACAGGTGTGTGTGTGAGACGGATAAGAAGTGGTTTGGGGAACTGTGTGGTACCTCAGGTGCCCTTTATTAGGTGCACTTAGTAGGGAAAAGGCGGCATCGCCTTGTCCAGGTCGGCCTGTGGTCGCCAACACTGAGCCGTCGGAGCAGGCGGGAACTTGGCTCCAAACCTGGGTGTGCGTGAAGTGTCACATGGGATTATTCTCCAGGCACAAGTTTGGTCCCCATCCTGCCAGGTTGGAAGGGAATGCCAGCCCAGGCATCATCAGGACTCCCTCCTCCTCCTCCTCCTGCCTGAGCCGCCCTGTGCCTGGCCCCTGAAGTCCTGCACTGGTCTCAGGGGTCTTAGGTGAAGCCGATCCTTGGAGAGGGGTCTGCGTGTGCCCCCTTCCCCTCACTGCCGTCCGTGGCTCCGGCGACCTGGGCGGTTCTCTGAGGTCTCCAGGCCCCTCGTGGGCGCGAGCCTGCGAGGTTCCCACCTCCTGGCGCGTCCTTGTTCCTCACAGGCCCCGGTCTCCGTCCGCTTTCCAGCCTTGCAGAGTCTCTTCCCCGAGTAACCGGCTGCCTCTGAGCCCTGCCCGGCCCCTGCTGGGCGGCCTGCACGGAATTTAGAAAACAGGAAGGTGGAGCTTCTGCTTTCAGCCCAGCAACCCAACCGTCCCCAAGAGGCGGAACAACAAAGGCCCGAGCTCCGCTGGAAAGGGGTCAGGAGAGGAGACGGGAGAGGAATGGCCATCACAGGAAGGGCCTGTCCCCTTTTCTGACGTGGCTGCTGCGGCGGACTTGTCTGTCTGGACTCTTGGTGGATTTCAGAACATACATGAAGCCATTTGCCCAGTCAGCACAGCCCACGCGGGTGCACGCCTGAGAGGGGTGTCCAGGTGGGAAGAGCAAGGGCTAGGCCTGGCCTCCGGCCTTGGCCCCGTTGGCAGCCGGTCAGGAGCCTTCCCACCACCCCCTCCCCAGGTCCTGGCTCTGGGGGTGGAATTCTTGACTTGTGCCATGGCGCATGGAGGGTGATGGTGGGGAACTGTGTTTGGCAGCTGGAACCAGCCAGAAATCACATCAGCAGCCCATACCCCGGTTCCTGACTGTGGTTGCTGCTGTGTGGTCGCTGCCGTGTGGGCCCTGCTGACAGCTTTGAACTTGGTACTGATCAGCCCTCTCCACTCCCTTCCCCTGTGGACCCTTGGCCGGGCCTTTCCTTGGCCGGGCTCCGAGCTGCCTGCTCACCCTGGCTGGCCGACTCTCAGCATCTGCCCTACTTCACAGGCCAGCAGCTGGCGGTGGGCCAGGGCCGCGCTCACGTCAGAGCCGCCCGCCTGGGAGGGGGGGAGAGGGCAGATCTCCAGAGAGGCCTGCAGCCTCGTGGGCCGAGGACGGGTGAAACCAGGGCACCTGCGTGCCGAGGGGAGATGGAGGTGTGGGGCCTGTCCCAGGCCTGGGGGACCCCACACAGAACATCTGGGGGCTCTCACTCCATTAACTCGCGCCTCGCCAGGCTGGCCAGAGGTGCGCACCCACCCAGAGCCTGGTACCCCCTCTGCAGCACGCAGCACGCAGCTCACCCTGATGTCCTCCACCCCCACTTCCCAGCCTGGGCCGCGCTGTTGGTTCAGGCCTCACCCCGACTGCCCGACCCTGTGGTGGGGGTCAGGACTTCCAGACGCTCACCCGCCCGCTGCACAGGAGCTCTCCGGAGCTCCCAGCTGCAGATTCCTGGCTCGCCTTGGCGCTGCTGATTCAGGCGTGGGGGGGGAGCTCGTGCCATTGGTATTTCTTGTTTAAGCACTTGAAGTGTGGACAGGTTGGGAGCCAGGGCTGTGGGAAGAACCCCAGAGCAGGGTCTGGATTCTCTGTTCTTCTCGGTGGCTCATCCCCTGTGCCTTTGGGAGGGTCACTCCGTGTCTCTGGGCACCTGTTTCCTCACCAGCGAAGGAGGGCTAATAATTCTCACCGTGCCTCCGCCGTGGGCTTCGCATCCCAGTCAGTGCGGCCAGGAGATGCGTCCTGAGCGCTTGCACTGCGTTAGAGTTGGGGTCCCAGGCTCTGTCCACTCCTCTTGCCAGGCTCACGTCTGGCCTCCAGCGGTGCAGACGAGCATGTGATGGTTCCATGCCATCCAGCCCACTCCTAGGAGCTCTGCCACGCTGGCCATGGCTCCCAGGGGCAAGGGGAGGAGGGGGCGAGATCTGCCGCTGGAAGTGGGGCTGCCCTGGGGCCAGGGCACGGCACAGGGATCTTCCCTCCTGGCCCACACCGAGGCTCTGTTTCAGGTCTCAGTCACCGCGCGGGAAGACGTGCCGGCCTTTGGCCCACCTCTGCCCAGCCCCCCTGTTTTCCAGAAGGTAAGACACTCTCCCTTCTGCTCCTCTCACAGCCAAACTCCAGGGTCCCATGCCTGAGTGGCAGGGGTTGCAGTGGGGCCGAACCTGGGCGGGGACGTTAGCCGGGCCTTTATTCAGCAGGGTTGGGGGGCTTTACTTGGGGTCTCCCCCACCTCTGCTCCTGCTGCTAGCCTGGCCTAGCACAGGGTCTTGTTCAGGGAGTTTGAATTTCTGCTGAAAGAAGCGGGACGTTAGCCGGGCCTTTATTCAGCAGGGTTGGGGGGCCTCCCCCACCTCTGCTCCTGCTGCCAGCCTGGCCTAGCATAGGGTCTCGTTCAGGGAGTTTGAATTTCTGCTGAAAGAAGCATTTTTTATACCAGGAGCCTGGGGCAGAAGTCGCCTCCAGGCACGGAAATGCCACTGTGGGTGTGGAGGGATGGTTTCCCAGGACCCGGGGAGCTGGTTTCCATGTTGGCATCGTAGCAGTTGGGCTTGGCCTGGGCTAGATGTGATCCAATGTCTGAAGGGACTTTTCAGGGGCGCTCCTAGACCCCCCCGCCCCCGTTCTGCCTGCCCATGGCGAGGCTGGGAGAGTCCCAGAGCTGCTTGTCTTCCAGGGCCCCGAGTTCAGGGAGTTTCTGCTCACCAAGCTCACCAACGCAGAGAACGCCTGCTGCAAGTCGGACAAGTTCGCGAAACTGGAGGTGAGAACGAGGTTTCTGAGGTCTTCCTCCTGCCCTCCTGTTAGCCAGGCTCTGCCGGGGTCTGTTCCTGGGGCGGGGGAGAGCATCGTCTTTGCCCCTCGAAGTCGTCAGTCCTGTGTTGATACAGTAACTCTTCTTGTGGAAACTAAGTCCAAATTTCAGGTCTAGTCAGCCATTCACCAATTGTTTATTGAGCACCTACTGTGTGCCAGGCTCCGTTCTGTTTCCTGGGACACGGGCATAAATGCGACTCAGTTTCTGCTCATACAGAGTTCGCAGGCTGGTGGGAGGGGCCATTGCTAGAGGAAAGATACTGTTTGCCAGCACTGAGCCCTGATGGAGGCCAGTAAGGGGGCTGTGACTCAGGATAGTGACTGCCTCTGCCTGTGGGGGTCTAGGGAGTATTCAGGGAAGGCTTCTCGGAGGAGGTGGCCCTTCAGCTGCTGAACCTGGGACTCTGATGAGCCGTTTGCCGGGAGGAAAGAGTGGGGAGGGTTATTCCAGGCATGGGAACAGCATGAGCAAAGAAGAATCAGGGCAGAATCAGAGCATGACTTGGTGAGGGGGTTCCAGAGGGTTTGATGTGGCCTGAGGGAAGGACTCGTGGGGGATGGGATGGTGGGGACTCAGCTGAAGACGTAGGTTGGGTCATATCAAGAAGGGATTTGAGCTAGAGGGGATGGGCCCTATTAAAGGACTTAGGCAGGAGAGTGATGTTTGCTTTGCATATTAGATGATTACTCTGACAGTGGTGGGGAGGGTAGATTGAAAGGGAGGAGGGCGGGAAGGGTGGCCAGTTAGAAGCTATGACAGGAGTTCAAGAGAGACGATGGCAACTTGCTTACCCCAGGCACAGGGGGAATGATTTGGGGAAGACCCGATGGACTTCCGTATTAAGGGCGGAGGGAAGTGGATTGGTGGGGTGGCTCTTAGGCCTTCAGCTGGGCTCTTTGCTGACAGGCGACCACTGGGAGGTAGCTGTGCCAGGGCCTGCTGATCTGGAGGTGCCTGCGCAGGCTGGGTCACCGAAAGGGCCAGTCCCGGTCTGGGTGCATGGCGCCCCCTGGAGGTTTTACGATGGCTCTGGAGGAACATCTGGATGGAGAGGAGCAGTGGGCAGTGGTACACGGATGTGGAGCTTGGGGTAGAGAGCTGGGCCGGGCCAGGAGTCAGGTAGAGCTGGCAGGGTGGGGCGGCCCAGCGAGAAGGGGCAGCGGGAAGAGAGCAGAGGGCTGGGCACTGAGCTGTAGTGTCAGTTGCGACGTTTGTGAGCGTGGAGCCCAGCCTGGCCTTAGCTCACACCGCCACCAAGATGCACTTGGCCAGAATAGCAGCCCTCAGCCAGGCGGCTGGAGCCCCCTCTGCTCTCAGTGCCTGCTCCACAACCTCCCCCCTCCCCCCCCAGGACCGGACGAGGGCCGCCCTCTTGGACAACCTTCACGACGAGCTCCATGCCCACACACAGGCCATGCTGGGACTCGGCCCGGAAGAGGACAAGTTTGAGAACGGGGGCCACGGGGGATTCCTGGAGTCCTTCAAGGTACGGGCACAAGAGCGGCTGCCGACTGCTGTGGCAGGGAGGGTCGGGACAGACAAGGGAAGAGGTCCAAGATCCACATGATCCTGACCCCAGAGCCCCAGTGCCAGCCAGCTGTGGCAGGACCCGCAGGGGCACTGCCGGGGTTGGCAGCGGACAGGGGCATCAGGAAGTGTGAGTGGTTGGAGCAGCCAACAGTGTCTGCTGCATCCTCACCTTCTTCCCTGACCTGGATCCTCTCCTCCCGGCCCGGCGTCTGACAAGTGGGGCTGGGGGAAGAGTTAGCAGGAGAGGAGCCAGTGCAAACCAAGAACACTGCTGCTTCCATCTGCCTCCTCCTGCGTTCAGGGCGCCCAGGGCAGAGTGGCGGGAGCAAGGACACAGGTCTTAGCTGTCTTCAGCAGCTGGTGTGGGGTTCCGCAAGGATTTTTCCAGCTGGCAGGGCACTCGAGGACCTGGCCAGGGCCAGTGTGATGGAGTCAGAGGCAAGTCCCTGTGGACTTTGCAAAGGGAAGAACTTTCTAACCAGAATGAGCTGCTAAAAGAAGTAGTGAGCTCCCTGTCCCTGGGAGTATTCAAGTGGAGCTGGGACAGCCACTTCGCTGGCCTGGCATAAAGAAGATTCATTGCCATGTGCTTGCCAAGTGCTTGCCGGTCCACACAGCACTTACACCCAGCATCTGATCTGAGCCTGGCTGTCACCCTGTGCGGTTGGCAGAAGGGGCCTTGTTACTTCCATTCACACACAAGGGGACAGGATGAGAGGCCACAGGACTGCTCAAAACCTTACACCCACTGCCCGGCCGGCGTGGCTCAGTGATTGAGTACTGACACATGAACCAGGAGGTCATGGCTCGATTCCTGGTCAGGAGGGCACATGCCCAGGTTGCGGGCTCAGTCCTCAGTAGGGGCCGTGCAGGAGGCAGCCTATCGATGATTCTCCCTCATCATTGATGTTTCTATCTCTCTCTCCCTCTCCCTTCCTCTCTGAAATCAATAAAAACATATTTTTAAAAAAACACAAAAAAACCTTACACCCGCTCAGAGGTAGCAAAGCCTTGTTTCAAACCCGGGTTTTCTGGTTCTTAGTCAATGGTCTGCTGATGGCCCGCGGCAGAATGATTTATAAAGCTACCGTTTTGGGGACAGTGTGTGGGGTTGGGGTTGGACCTGCCTGTATTAGAATCCCAGCTGTGTGATCCTGGGCACAGTCTTTCAAGTCTCTGAGCTACATGAACAACACAGGGATGATCAACGGGACCTGTGTCTTGGCATTGTTGGGAGAATTCATGGAAATAGTCCAAAGGGGTCGCATGGCCCGGAATACAGTCAATGCCTGGTGAACGTGTGAGCTGTTAGCATTGCCCTGTAAAGTGAAAGCTTAACACCCATCATGCCTCTAAACCAGTGGTTCTCAACCTTCCTAATGCCGCGACCCTTTAATACAGTTCCTCATGTTGTGGTGACCCCCAATTTCATCGTTACAAATTGAACATAATTAAAGCATAGTGATTAATCACAAAAACAATATGTAATTATATATGTGTTTTCCGATGGTCTTAGGTGACCCCTGTGAAAGGGTCGTTCGACCCCCAAAGGGGTCGAGACCCACAGGTTGAGAACCGCTGCTCTAAACTCTCACAGCTGCTCCCTATGCCCTGTGCAAGGCTGGGGTTATGGGTAGAATCACTGATACCCAATTTTAATAATTAGGAGTGTAATTTTGCACGTGAGGAGATGGAGACTCGAAGAAACAGAATAATTTGTTCCAAGTCACCCAGCAGATTCGGGAATGGAAGCGTGTCTGGCAGATTCCGAAGCGTGTGTTCCCAGTTGCCACATGACACCGCCTCTGGGTCCCAACTCAATTAAGATTCCACCCACCAGCCTGGCCCGGGCAAGCCTGGGGTCGGCCCCCCTGCCAGGCAGCCGCACAGAGCGCAGGGCAGGGCCTGCTGGCCCCAAGGGCTAGTTGCAGAGATTCCTCACGCGGGCGCGGGCAGGAGCCGACTGCGTGTCCGGGCTGGTGGGAGATTCCTGGGACATCTGTCTCAGCCCTGATGGACAGTGGCGGCCAGGGTGAAACAGGAGGAGCTGAGATCCAGAGGAAAGGGGTGGGGAGAAGAGGGACGGGGGAGGGAAGTGGGAGCCAGGGCAGCTAGCCCGGCAGAGGGAGGGGTCAATGGGAGACCAGGGAACTAGGAACACCTCTGTGGGCTCCGCCCCACGTCCCAGCAAGGGTATCAGATGCTCCCGGCTTCCATGGCAGATGTCATTATCCATGACTCGAGCTGTTGTTGACTGCAGACATCTAGTGACTTGTTGCTTTCAGTTTTGCAGGTTTCTCTCTGTCTCTTGGAGTTAACAATAGTTTTTTCAGTTTTCAAATATTTCTATAACCTGGGAACTCCTGCAGGCTGTGCACACCGGGCCCACGGTGCCCAGTGGATTAAACGGCCCGGCAGCGACCTCAGGTTGCGGGTCTAAAAGACAGTGACCCGAAGCCATTTCCCAGTCCCCTGCCTCTGGGCCGACTCCAGCGGCTTGACTACCGGGGTTTCCAGAGAGGGAGATGCTCCCGGCCTTGACCATTCCTTGTCTCTGATCCAGAAATCCAGGGAAGTTTTCTTTTCAACCCTAAATCCTCCCAACTATAGGCTGAAGACAGTCCCTCCTACCTTCTGCTTCCGCCCGTGTCTGAGGTGCACTGTGGGGTGAGGGAGGGGCCGTCACGGTCAGTCGCGCAGAACAAACCTTCCGAGCTCTGCCAGATAGGAGTAGCGTTGTTTCCTCCTCCCTGTCGGGACCAGCTCTTTGCCCTGTGCGTTCCGTCATTGCCTTTGGTGGGTGTCCCCGGCTGTGGTCTGCCCCAGCCCAGGAAACTGTCTTTAGTTTCGCTGTCTCTTCCCAGGCACCTTGGACGGTGCTGTGGTGTCAGAATTATTGGCGTTCCTCTTGGCGTTCCATCTGGACTGCCACGAAGTCCTTCTTGCAAGGAGAGGTGCGTGAAATGATTCCAGGGAGAGAAGTTGCAGGTCCTCTCTCCTTCCTGTCACAGTTCTCGTCCCACAGATGCACAGAAACATAATGGAGAAGTCCCAGGGCTCACAGCGACCCCAGCCACCCATCCCTGCCTCTGTGGCTGTTCCCTCTCCCCTACAGCCCAGGGCCCTTTGTCCCTCTGCCTAGAAGCAGACCCGTCGCTGCCCCAGGCTGTGCTCCAGGCTCCTCACACCACTTAGAGTAGCTCTCTCTTCTTCACGTCTGTCCGTCTGGCTTCCGTTCATGGGCGGTCGGTTTAGTGTTTCTTCCATGAGAAACAGAACAGTGGGTTCATGGACGCCTGGACCTGCTTCGGAGGAGCTTGTGGATATTCTCAGGAATCCTCCAGTTCCACAAACACTGACACATTTTGCACTTTCACTTAGCGGATGATATAAAAAAAAAAAGTATTTCCAGTTGAGATTAAACTTTTGCAGCGAGACTCACAACCGAAAGACACGAGTAAGTAGGCAGGGGCCAGTGCAGCCGGAGGCCACCGGTGCTGGGGGTCTGTGGACATAGTCTGGCAAGAATAGTTTTATTTTAAAAGCATATATATTAGTTATTGTTGACAATGTTACAGAAGTCCCGCATTCCTCCCCCTATCGCCCTCCTCCACCCAGAATACTTTTCTTTTTCAAGGAGCTGTGTGTTACTCACCTTTGAAAAATATTGATCTCTAAACTATCATCCTCAAATGCCGTGCTCAGCCACTGCCCGCTGTTGAAGTTTCTGTTGGTCCCTAATAAAATGGACAGGAAAAGGGATGCTACTTGATGTATCAACATATGTACACAAAGCCCGTGTGAGCCACATTTTGAGAAACCCTGAGCTAGCCCAACCCCCTGATGCCCTCATCATGCAGAAGGGGGCACAGAGGGCCGGAGGAGAAGTCACCACCAGCCCCAGAACTGGGATGGCGGAGAGCAGGCGTGTTGGGTGAATTTCTCCCAGCCTCTGAGGGGCTGGCAGCCGATGCACTGGTCTGCTCTGACCCCTAGTGGCCGGAGCGCAGGCCTGCAGGTAGCTCCCGCAAAGTGCTCGCAGGCTGGGGCCGCTCATGGATTGGAGCTCTGGTCCGTCTGAGAGGAGACGCGGAGGGATATTTCCTACTCCCGTCAGCCTTCCTCCTTTATTTGTGCTGCCAAAGGGGCAGAAGACCCTGTTCTGGACCTCAGATTCTTCCGATTAGGGGGCCGTCACAGCCGGCAAGAAATTAGCATCTTTCTCTCCGTGGGCCCTGCCTCTGTTGCTCGCTTGGTACAGATAAGCATGTGTCCCCCCTAGTGTTATCCTTGCGCATTGGGTCCCCCAAGTTGAATCTGTTAGATTGAAACAACTCACAAAACCCATTTGTAAAGAAGCAGGATTTGTGGTCGGCCCAGAGGAGGCGTGCTCCCTCTGTGACACTAACTGGTGAGACATACGCAGACATGAGGGAGTGACTCCACCCCTCTTTTCTCACTCCCGCAAAGGTGTGCTGAGGGCTGGGAAACCGTGGTGACTAAGGGTGGGAGACAGAACTGGAGGTGATCAGCTTGGAGGAGAGCAGCTGAGGACAGACAAGGATAGTGGTGTGACGTATGGAGTAGACTAGTCCATGACACCAACATCTGGAAACGGTAAGATTCCAGCTTGGTGCACAGAAGATCTTTTCAAAGGCCAGGCTGTTCGTCCCTGAAGGCAGTGAGCAGCCCGTCCCCGGGAAGATGCAAGCGGAGAGGACAAGAACTGTGGCCTGGATGTGCAGGGCCGAGTGGGAGAGGGGCCAGGTGGTCCCTGGAGACCTCCTGATGCCCCGGCAAAGGCTTCGTGGGCCTGTCCTCTTCTCTCCTGCCTCCCTCTTCCCGCATCGCCGCCTTCTGTCCTCTTCTTCGCCCTGCACCTGACTCTTCTGACCGATTTGAAAGGCTAGTGTGTCTGGCTCTACATCAGATTGACATGTGACATACGTTAGACCAGGTCACTGGGTGATTTTGTCCAAATGGAGCATCGCTGTAGGGTTTCAAGGTAGCCATCATCTCTCTTTTCCCATCCCTAAGAGTGGGGGGGGGGCGAGATGACCTTGAGTAAGCAGGTGTCATGCCAGGGAGTTGTCATCCATCGTGTCATCCTCGCGTGGGGACCATCACCATGCTGTACGGGGGAGGAGACTGTCTCCGAGAGGCTCACACACCATGCTGGGAAGAGCCAGGAGTCAAGCCCCGCACCTCCCTGGAGTTCCCTGCCAGCCACTGTGTCCTCAGACTTACCCCACTGACTCAGCAGCACCACGGGCCTTTGAGGAGAAGAGTCCTCCCTCATGTCAGGGAGACCGAGACCACGTGGTTTCTAATCACCCTCAGTCCGTCAACCAGTTGAATTATATGTTCAAGCTGGGCTACTTGTTGGGATCATTTCGTCTGGAGCCCAGGGTCCTGGGTGTGGTCCTGGTTCCGTCTCTTACCTTTGGTGTGACCTCGGCAGTCATCTGCGTTTCCGGACCTTTTCTCTGTGTCTGTCCTCTCTGCGTCTCAGAGCTGGAAGGATGCAATAAGATCACGTGTGTGAAGCTCAGTGGACCAGCTGCCATCACACAGGGCTCATGACGCACATTTAGTTTTCTCTGCAAAGAGACCGTGAGAAAGCATCCGAACATGAATGACTCATTGACATGTCACAGTTGATGACGGTGGTGGTGGTGGCACACACGAGGCACCAATGGAATGGAATGAGGCCGAGTTGATGGAGCACTTGAGTCATTTGGGGAAACTCTGTTTATCCAAGGACACCTCCGAGTGGTGCCACACCTCCCTCCCTTCAGTTTTCTGAGGGCACACAACTGAATGATCTTTGGGTGGCGGAATGAATGGAAGGTGCTGGCTGTTTATCCATGTTGCGGACACTGTTGCTAGGTGACTCTTCTGTGGTCTAGAAAGAGAGAGAGTTGATTGTCCCTCGAGGGGGCGTCTTCGGCTCAGACAGGCCAGGCCCGATGAATGCTATCAGGGGTACACGGTTGGTGGGCTCCCTGACTCGTTCAAGGGGAGCTGGCCTCCAGGGCCATCATCTTTGCAGACGGCCCTCCTTCCTGAGTCAGCTTCCTCCCCAGGATAGAAAGGCAGGCAGGGTGCGGTCCTCGGCCACTCCTGAGCTTGGCGAATTCCCGACCGTGGGGAGAGCTCCCGGGGGACCCGAGATTTGGGTTGGGGGCAGCATTCCCGCTGCTTTCTTGGGACTACCTTTCCGTAGATTCAACGCTTCGAGGGAGGGAAGAGCAGCCGTTCCACGTAGGTGGGCACATGGAGCGCGAAAGCAGACATGTGTGGTTCCGTGTGGGTGTGAACCAGGTGAGGGTGGGGGCTGTGTCCCACGTTTGTCCTTCTGCATCAGCGTTCTGAAGCTGAGGTTCCGAGAACTCCCCCCCTCAGCTGGCTCACGCAATGAGGAAGATCCACCAGCTCACTTAACCAGAAGGCCCAGGCGACTCATGGCTCAGCGTGGTCAGTGGCAGGCAGGTTCCATCCCCTGGCCCCTCTGCCCTCCCCATCTTGTCAGCTTCGCCCGTAGGCTTGACCGCTTACAGCCCCACGGTGGCTGCTGCGGTCCTAGGTGCAGAGGTGTCACACCTCTTTTGGGAATCGCTGAGGAGATCTTTCCTCAAAGCCCCCAGTGACATCCCCTCATGTCCCCCTGGCAAGGGGATGGATGATGTGACTGCCTCAGGGGGTCATGACTTACTCCTTTGTCCTGTGGAGGAAGAGGGGATGTTGGGCCAGACAGTGGCTCTGCCAGCAAGGAGCATGGGGGGAGGAGGGGGATGGCACTTGTATGTGAGCAACTAGTAATGTCTGCATCCGTGAGTCTTTGCATATGGCTCTGAGGCCGTGGGGGCCCGGACAGCTGGTTAACACAGCGGGAGCACCCACGGGCCTGGGCCTTTTCCGTTGCCCTAATTTTAGGAATGTCTTGTTTCCCTGCTGCCTGTGCACTCCTTGGAGGCAGGGGCCATGTCTCATATGTCTTTGACTCCCCTCCTGCAGTTCTCCCAGTTTCTGGCAGGGCTGGGCACACAGGAAGCACATGACAGATGCTCACTATTAACAAGAAGAGTAGCCACATTGGTTGGGTACTTAGTATGTGCAGGGTGCTCTGCTACGAGCTTTATAGGTGTGGCCACCTGGCCGCATCATCGAGGGACTGAATGAGTGGTCAAAGGGAGTGATGTGGGGTTTGGGGGATCCCGGAGAGAAACTTCCCTTCCTAGAACTCGTGTCGTCTTCGAAGGCCTTCAGGACCAGGGAGCATCGTCCACATGGTAGGTGGAAGCCTCTAGGACTTCCCATGTCAGGAAATCCTCCCTTGGGTCCGGGTGGGATCTGTCTGCCTCACTCTAACCATCCCCTTGGGTCAGGTTCCAGAGCAACGCAGGCGGCCTGCAGAGCCCTGCTGAGCAGCCTGAGAGCAGCTGGCACCTCCCAGCTCTCTCCCTGCTGTGGGCGCGGCAATCTTCATTTTAATGTTCTCATCCTTGCATGCACTGGGACCGGTGGCTATCCCGGTTGTCCCCTCCTGGACACTGTGCTGTGTACAGATGGGTCCTTTGTTCTTTGGTGGCCCTAAGTGGGCACAGGGCTCCACGCGGCCTGAGCAGTCCGGGCCCTCTGAGGCCTCACGCCTGGAGTCTGAGAGTGCATGTCCTGTGTCAGCAGCGGCACCAGCTGTGGGCTCATCGTTAGCTGCTGCGAGTGTGGCATGGCTCCGTGTCAGACCCGGGAGTGCTCTGGCCACAGTGCACCAACTGCGAACATATTCCAAGTTGTACCAGGCACACGTTGGGGTGACAGCAGAAGGGATACCCAGTGTTTAAATATAGAAGGACGCTTAGTTTTCTGCTGCTGGGACCATATCATTCCTGGTTTGCAGGTGAGGAAGCTCAGGCTTGGTAAGCTCTCCAAGCCCCACTTTCCTTCCCCGTAACAGCCTCTGTCCACCTCGCAGGGCATCTGGGGCGCTGACCCCTCAGACTCTTCTGTCCAATGTCCTCCCTCGCCTCTGCCTGCAGAGCGCCACATGCCCAGAGCATGTGACAGTCCTCTGCAGGCCGTAGTGATTAGCATGTGGGCTGCCGAGAGAGCGCCACATGCCCAGAGCATGTGACAGTCCTCTGCAGACCGTAGTGATTAGCATGTGGGCCGCCGAGAGAGAGTGTGTGCGCGAGTGTGTGTGCACATGTGCGCACAGAGCCCGGAGTGTGTCTGCAGACCCCACTGAGGCAGCGGGGTCATCTGGAGAGGCCTGGCTGCAACTCTCAGGCCCCCCCACCTGCTGTCCCCACAGAGGGCCATCCGCGTGCGCAGCCACTCCATGGAGACCATGGTGACCAGCCAGAAGAAGCCGCACAGCGGGGGCCTCCCCGGCAGCCTCAGCGGGGGCATCTCCCACAACAGCGTGGAGGTCACCAAGACCACCTTCTCGGTGAGTGTCTGCAGGCTCTGGGGCCCCCCGGCCGTGGTGGGGGGAGGGGTGTGTTCACCCAGGCCTGGGCCAGGTGATCGGCAGGGCGAGCTGGATGATGGGGAGGGAAACTGAGCCTCCAGCCAGGCAGCACTTGGGGCTGGCCCAGACCGGAGCCCACCTGTGGTCCCGCTCTCTGAGTTTCCTTGACACCTGGGCCCCCTCGGGACCAACCCTGCGCAGTGGCCCTGGGTCCTGGGCCTGTGAGAGGGCCCTCCCTTTGTTATTCCTAACGACAGGTGGCTGCCCCTGCTTGCTGTGCAAGGGGCACTGAGCTAAGTAACTCACGGTCCCTGTGACAGCTGTGTGAGGGAGGTGCTGGGTGCTGTCCATTGTACATCCGAGAAAGGGGAGGCCCAGAGAGGTTAGGCAACTTGCTGGAGGTCACCCAGCAAAGCCGAAGAACTGGGCTTCGCGTGTAGGCCGCCCAGATCCTAAGTCTTTGTTCCTAATCACTGTGTACAGTTCCAAGAAAAGAGAGCCTGGCCGGTCCGGGGGTTTGGGTCTGGTCAGCTTGCACCAGGAGCCGGCCAGGTGAGGGGGCCAGAGTCCCTCTTTTGATAAAGCAAAGTGGCTGTGGATTTGTGCACGTTGGGGGTTTTCTTGTTCTTTTCTGTCGTAGCAGAACATACCCACCACGATATTGGCAATTGGTATTGTGAATGATCTTGTGTAATTCATTTGATTCACCAAATAGTGTTTTCATAGCTGTTATCTTGTTCCTCCCAGGGGGTCTGTGAGGTGAGCAGGCAGGGCAGTTCTCTCCAATCTGTGGCTGAGACCGGGGCCCAGAGAATTCGTCCACTTGCCCAAGGTTGCACCGCATGGGAATGGCAAACGCCGGGGCCGGCCTGGCTTAGAGGCCTGGCGGGCTCCCATCTCCCCCTTCTCATTCTGCCGCTCTCCGTCCGTCGTCCCCCACACGTGGCAGAAGCAGAGCCACGTGCTTGGCAGGCTCCCTCTGCCTGTGGGTGCGTGTGGACCTCATGCTTGTCCTGCCAGGGGTTTGTCCTCCCAGGACTCTCTCAGCTTTGTGGTTCCCAGTCTGTGACCCCCTCAGGCATCCTGTCCTCTCAGTATATGGGGTTCTCCTTAGGGTGGCCCTGACCCCAAGTTCCTCCAGGAATTCTGTTGTAGTGGATTGTTACCCGGGGCCGTAAGGGTTGGGCTAAGAACACAGGAAAACAGGCTGCAGGTCATACATAGTTCCTGCTGCACAGACCCCACCCTTCCCAGCTGTCTCGTTTCTGGGGATCTCTCCAGACCAGTTGTGGGGCGCGGGGGGCGGTGCACAGGCTCTTTGTAGACCAGGAAGGGGGGTGAAGGGAAGGAGACCTGGGTTTGGGGCGTGAGCGCTCATTCTGGTGGTCTCGTTGGCAGCCTCCAGTGGCGGCGGCAACTGCCAAGAACCAGTCGCGGAGCCCCATCAAGCGGCGGTCGGGGCTCTTCCCCCGTCTGCACACGGGCTCTGAAGGCCAAGGGGACAGCCGGACACGGTGGTGAGTGTCCAGCGTGGCGGGGGTGAGCTCCCTCGGGAGGGCTGGGCGCAGCCTCAGCTTCGAGCGATGGCTTCCTTCTTACCCTGGTCCCCACGTCAGGCCCCCGTGTCCCCCGTCACTCATTCAGTGCTGTGTCCACTCGGCAGCTTTGCGGTCCCTGCACCCGACAGTCAGAGGGGCTCTCCTCACAGTCTGGCCCCAGCTGGAAACGCTGCTCAGAGTCGTTTCTCTCTGTGCTTCCTTTTGCAAAGCTCACTCAGATGTCCTCCTTATGGAGGCCTTCCCTGATTCTGACAGCAGAGTTCGTGGAACCTGCCTTTGGGCTTCCAGAACTTCCTCCCTCCCTTCCTTCCTTCCTTCCCCCTCTCTCCCTCCCTCCCTTCCTTCCCCCGGCTCTTTTTCCCCCATTGCCCCCTCCACCCCACTCCTACCCCCTCCCAGGCCTTCACTGCACTACTGTCTGTGTCCCTGGACTGTGCGTATGTGCGTATAGGTTCTCTGGTTAATCTCTTCCCACCCCTCCCCCTCCCTCTGAGCTCTCTCAGTCTGTTCCATGTCTCCATGTCGGTTTGTTGGTCCGTTTATTCTGTTCATTAGATCCCACCTGTAAGTGAGATCATGTGGTAGCTGCCTCCCTCTTTCTGACTGGCTTCTTTTGCTCAGCATAAAACAAAGGGGAAAGTAAGCAGACGGGACTACATTGAACTGAAAAGCTTCTGCACAGCAGGAGAAGCCACCCACAAAATGAAGAGGGAGCCCACTGTGTGGGGGAACATATTTGCCAATGATACATCTGATAAGGGGTTAATTTCCAAAAATATGTGAAGAACTCGTACGGCTCAACAGCTCGCATATCCTACTTCCCCTGTTCTTGCTAAATGTCTTTCTGATCCTTCAGTCAGTGAGCACACCTGGTGTTTAGTTCCGAGCAGCATCCCTCGAGTGCCGGGCGTGTGGGGCTCAGTGCTCAGACAGGAGCTCCAAAGACGCAAACCTGCCCTCCAGGAGCTTATAGTCTCGGGAAGGAAAGGGAGGCAGCAGGTCGACCTCCACGTGTACAAGTTGTCTTCCTGTAGCCCTGGCTGTGGCCCCAGCCGCCGGGCCTGGGCACACAGGACGAGGGCGGTGATGCAGGAGGATGGAGAGCTCTGTTTGGAAGCTGTGTGTGTGAGTGAGTCCTTGTGGCCCACTCAGCGGGGAGACCCAGAGCTCTGAGTGGTCAGAATTGCTGGTCTTGAGCTTGGGGGAGAGGCGGTGACTGGAGAAGGAGAGGTGGGAGTCACTGGGGGAGGGGGGCGGGGAGGTGGTGCTTAAGATGAATCAATGAATACGCTCCCCCAAGGGGGTGTGGAGAATGCCTGGGGAGCACCAGCACTTAAGGGCAAGTGGAGAAGGAGGCAGAGCCAGGGGAAAAGACAGGGAAGGTAGGGGAGCGAGGAGGAAGAGAGGAGGGGAGGGAGGGCCCTCAGAAGCCGGGGCAGGAGACACTGCAGGAGGGAGGTCCGCAGTGGCAGCCGAGCAGAGAAGTCTAGCACAGGGGCCCCAACCCCTGCTGGGTGGACACTTAGGAGGTCCCTGGTGACCTCGTTAGAAGTACATCGAGGCACTTCATGCCTCCAGGATGGTTTTTATAAGAAAGGCAAGAAGGAAGTGTTGGCAAGGATGTAGGGAAATTGGAACCGAGGATGTAGAGAGATTGGAACCCTCGTGCATTGCTGGTGGGACTGTGAACTGGTGAGGCTGCTTTAGAAAACAGCCTGGCAGCTCCTCAGAGGGTTAACCGTGGAGTTGCCATAAGGCCCAGCAGTTCCACGCCAGGTGCATGCCCGAGGGAAAGAACACGCGTGTCTGCATAAGCACCGCACACGGATGTCCGTGGCAGCGTTGTCATAGTAGCCCCCAGTGGAAATGGTCCACGTGCCCATCCAAAAAGTGGAGTATTATCTTGCAGTAAAAAGGAGTGAAGTGCTGAGGGACACAGGCTACAACATGGATGAGCCTTTAAAACACTAGCCACTCACAAAAGAAGCCACTCACAAAAAAGTCCAACCATATTGTATGGCCCCATTCATAGGAAATGTCCAGAAGAGGCAAATCCATAGGGACAGGAAGTAGATTCTGTCAGGGGCCAGGGCGGGGAGGAATGCGAGTGGTTGTGAGTGGGTCTGGGGTTTCTTTGAGGGGGGGGTAGGAATGTTCTAAAATTAGATGGCGGGCATGGTCGTGAATATACTAAAAACCACTGAATCGCACAGTTTAAATGGGTGAGTTGTATGTGGATTGTATCTCCATGAAGCTGCCACGAAAATAAAAGTACATTAGGGACAGGGCCCCAACAGTGGGCACTGAGCAGCTAATGGGCAGCGTTTGTGGCCTTTGTTAAACTGCAGAAGGTAACCCTCGGGCCCGGCTGCGAGTAGCCTATTTACCCAGAAGCCCTTCCCAGCACTCAGCGCACGCCTCCGGGGAGCGCATTTTGTAGCCTGTGTGAAGGGTGTCCCCTGGCGTTCTGCAGCCCTGGCCCCGCCGGCGCCCCGAGGGGTGCGTGTGCGCTGGCTGTGATGGTGGATGTCCCAGCCCTCACTCCATCCCCTCTGTGGCCCGCCCTTGACCTAAATAAAGCTCTGCCAGCTGGGATGGACTTGGGCTCAGGGGCATCAAGCCGGGACTCCTGCCTGGTAGCTCTGGACTCTCACCCAGGAGCCTGCAGGGGACCCTGGGAAAGCAGAAGACCCTGTTGTCTGATGGGGGCAGGGGTGGGATAGATGTCCTGGTGGCCGTGCTCTGTCGGGGATGCTGTGACCCCACAGGCCCCCATGGTGCAGTCTCGGGCCTGGGGGTGAGGTGGGGGTTGGGAACCGGCTCACCCGTCTTCATCCTCATCTCCCCAGCGACAGTGCATCCAGCAACCCCAAGACTGTGGACGGCGGGCACTCTTCTCAGGAGATCAAGTCTGAGACCTCGTCCAACCCCAGCTCTCCGGAGATCTGCCCCAGCAAGGAGAAGTAAGAGTGAGGGTGGGGAGGCGGCTTCAGCCCCGCGGGCCCTGGAATAGGTCTCTGCTCCGGCATCTCCCGCTTTGGGATCTCCGTGGAATGCACAGCCCGCAGGCAGGCCCATGGGGAGCCACTCAGTCTGTGCGGGGCCTGCCCTGCCCTCGGCCCCCGCGTGTGACCAGGGCCGCCTTCCCGCCCCTGCAGGCCCTTCATGAAGTTGAAGGAGAACGGCCGGGCCAACATCTCCCGCTCCTCCTCCAGCACCAGCAGCTTCAGCAGCACGGCCGGGGAGGGCGAGGCCATGGAGGAGTGTGACAGTGGGGTAGGTGCGGCCTGGCCAACCTGGGCCCACGCTCTGGGTGTTAAAATAGCTCCGGTGGGCAGAGCCCCCTCCCGGCTCCGGGGAGAGCGGGGAGTATGGAAACAAGAGGTGGCACCCCCAGCCGTCTCCACCCTCTGGGAGCGGTGGTTCGGGGTCTCCCTGGGGTGACAGAGGAGCAGCAGCGGCAGAGGGTCAGAGGTCAGGCTGAGCGCGTCCCTGCCGTGGGGTTCCTGGCTGGAGAGGAGAGGGCTCAGCTCTGCAAGGGTGTGGTCAGGGGCACTGCCTGGGGGTGGAGGGGAGCCAGGGCTGGAGGCAGCAGGAGGAAAGAGCGTGTCCCAGCGGGCAGTGGGAGGCAGGGGCCGCCCGGGTCAGCTGAGGGTGGGCCCGCCTCGCTCACCCGGCCTCTCTCCCCAGAGCAGCCAGCCGTCCACAACCTCGCCCTTCAAGCAGGAGGTGTTTGTCTACAGCCCGTCCCCAAGCAGCGAGAGCCCCAGCCTGGGGGCAGCCACCACCCCCATCATCATGAGCCGGAGTCCAACAGGTCGGTGTGCACCCCGTGGTGTGCACCATGCAGCCAGGGCAGGGGCTGTGCCCTGAGCACTGTTTGTGGGGCGCCGGCCCCAGGCGTCCGGAACTGGCCAGTCTCGGTCCAACCCCAGTGTGAGGCCTTGAGCTCTGCTCCCTCACTGCGTCTGCTCATCAGCCTCCAGGGCCTGTTCTTGCCCTCTCGTTACTCACGGGAGCCGAGCTCAGAGAGGAGTTGGGACTGTGAGTCGAAAGCCGAGATTTTTTCCACGGACCTCGCGCTCCTCCCCATCACCGACTCAGGGCCCCCATCACAGCGATGGTCCTCCAAATGCAAGGGTACCAGGTGGGAGAGCGTTGCAGGTGGAGGGACAGCACATGAAAGGCCTGCAGGGAACTGAGAAGCCGTGATCTGGAACCACATGTGGGTCAGTGGGGCTGGAGTTCACAACGGTGACAGGGGACAGGTGAGAGAGGAGACAGTGTTAGGGGACAGGGCCAGGGTGACGGGGGACAGGTGAGAGAGGAGACAGTGTTAGGGGACAGGACCAGGGTGACGGGACAGGTGAGTGAGGAGACAGTGTTAGGGGACAGGGCCAGGGTGACGGGATAGGTGAGTGAGGAGACAGTGTTAGGGGACAGGGCTAGGGCTGCCCCTGGTGAGGATTTAGGCTTTATCCCACAGGCAGTGGAAGCCATGGAAGGTCTTAAGTCTTTGAAGGTTCTTAAGTAGAGAAGCGCCATCTGGGGTTGAGAAAGACCATTTTGTGGCTGCAGCTGGCCCAGGAGGAAGGATTGGTGGGAGCAGGTGCAGGGGGAAGATCAGCGAGGGTCACAGTGAGTGGTGAGGGGTGATGGGCCATGGAGTGTGGGGTGATGGAGCATTGGGTTCAAGAGATGCCAAGGAGGTAAAATCTTTGGGGCTCAGTAGTGAGGGCTTCAGGGAGAGCAAGGAGTCTGGGCCTCTTGGGGTTCTGGGATCCCTGCAGTTGGACAGAGTAGGAGGAGCCGGCTCTGGGGAGAGGGTGAAGGGTTGGCACCTGAGGGGCATGTAGGTAGACGTGCCTGGTAGGCACTGATGGGCTCTGTGGGTGCCTAGAAGTCAGAGTCTTGGTCCCACCCTCCAGGAGGGCAGCACAGTGGGGCGGGGGGCAAGCACAGGAACCTGGGTCCACCACTTATGAGCGATGTGACATTGGACATGTTACTCAGCCTTTCCATGCCTCAAATACTGGAAGAATATTTACTCAATTTTTTGTGCTATTCACAATGCTATAGACACATACACTTTCACATTGAGTCTATATTACTAATACTAGAGGCCCGGTGCACGAATTCGTGCACGGGAAGGGTCCCTCTGGGTGGCCTGCAGGGGTGGGGCCGAAACCTGCAGTCCAGCGCCTCCTGCAGCTCCTACCTGCTGCTCCCACTCATCCCAGGCCTACTGTGCCTGCTGCGGGCTCGCGCCCAGTCAGTCCCGATCAGGGGAGGCTGCTGCAGCAGCGCTCGCCAGCCATGACCCCTGCGTCTGGCGCTCTCCCAAGGGAGTGGCCTGTGGGATCTGGCTGAAACCAGCTCTTTGACATCCCCCGAGGGGTCCCAGATTGCAAGAGGGCGCAGGCCAGGCTGAGGGACCCCACTGGTGCACGACTGGGCCAGGGAGGGACCACGGGAGGGCTCCAGGGCATGTCCGGCCTATCTCGCTCAGCCCTGATCAGCTGGACCCCAGCAGCAAGCTAACCTACGGGTCAGAGCATCTGCCCCCTGGTGGTCAGTGCATGTCATAGCAACTGGTTGAGCAGCCTTAGCATATCATTAGCATATTATACTTTGATTGGTTGTTCTGCTGTTTGGTCTATTTGCATATTATCCTTTTATTATATAAGATTCTCTCTATTAGTTTCTGAAGTCTCAACAACAAAACAGCAGATCAAGTTGGTTTGTAGCATTTGCTGATCTCAAGCCACCAATGTGACTGGCGTAAATAACCTTAAATGAATAGGGAGTGGTAAAATGTAGTGAAATAGCAAGGAAGTGATGACTTTTGAGTATTTATTACCTTTGACGAATATCACTTAATTATAAGTTTATAATTAATTTTTTTTTAATCCTCACTGGAGGATATTTTTTCCATTGATATTTTTTTTTTAGAGAGAGTGGAAAGGAGGGAGGAAGAGAGAGAGGGAGAGGAACATTGATGTGAGAGAAATAACATCGATTGGTTGCCTCCCACATATGCCCCAAACTAAGGCTGGGGATCAAACCTGCAACCCAGGTACATGCCCTTGACCAGGAATCACTCAGGCTGACACTCTAACCACTGAGCAACCGGCCGGAGCTAAGCTCGTGACTGTGTGTGTACAACCAGCTCACAACATTTGTGAAAATGTAAGGGTTGGCTCTTGTGAATTGGTGCATCAGCTAGAGCAGTGGTCGGCAAACTGCGGCTCGCGAGCCACATGCGGCTCTTTGGCCCCTTGAGTGTGGCTCTTCCACAAAATACCGACTTCTGCGCATGGGCCACGAAGTTTCAATCGCACTGTACGTGCGCGCCCACACGTGGTATTTTGCGGAAGAGCCACACTCAAGGGGCCAAAGAGCCGCATGTGGCTCGCGAGCCGCAGTTTGCCGACCACTGAGCTAGAGTGTCTCGTGGAGAGGAGGCGTCCCTTCTGGCCTCCCTGCCCAGTTCCCCAGCAGCCCATGACCTCCACAGCCCCACCCTCTTCATGGGCATTCTTCTTTTTCCTAGATGCCAAAAGCAGAAATTCCCCGAGGTCAAACCTGAAATTCCGCTTTGATAAGCTCAGCCATGCGAGCTCCAGTGCGGTAAGGATCTAGGGGTGTGGAGGTGGCAGGGGGAGCCTCCCGCAGCCCACAGTCCAACCTCCTCCAAGCCAGCCTTCCTGCCCCGGGCACCTCACAGCGGGGGGAGGAACCTCTGGTCCATCTGGGGTGAGGCTGTTGGTCCCGTGTGGTGCAGGCACAGCCCGGGGGTCTCCAGGCACCTCTGCCCCACGTGCTATGTTAGAGCCACGCCCTCGGACACACACAGATGTGAGGTGTGAATGGTTGGCTCCCGGGGCCTCGGGTCCCTCCCGAGCTCACCGGAGAGTTGAGAGCTGGGCGCACAGAAGGTGCAGTCGGTAGGGGTTGTGCTGTCTAGTTTTGTAAAACTCTTGCCTGGATTTTTCTTGAAACAGGGTCACTAATGCGAAAGAGGAGTCCTTCACCTGTCAAAGGTGGGTCAAGTGTTTGTCCTGCTGTGGCCACGGGGCCTGATAGCCCGACACTGTCCCCAGACCCTGACGGCTGGGGAGGGTAGTCGCCTCTTCTGAAGCCTCTGTGATGGGGCCCAGGATGGGAGGAAGGCGGGTGGCCGAGGTGTGGAGGGGAGGGGTTGTTTGGATCTGGGCTGGACTCACTGAGTTGTCCTCCCCGAGTGTCCAGAGATGCCTCAGCACCCTGAACACTGCGCGGGTGCCCCAAGGGAGGACCCTGCTGGCAGCCACAGCCGGCCGGGGCGGGCAGGAGTCTGTGGTTTTCAGCAGATCGGGCCTGGGCCCAGCTCCCCCCAAGGCCCCTCTGGTTTCCCCTCTGCTACGGGGCTGCAGGGCTGAGAGTCACAGTTGGAACCAAGGGGAGGGGCAGAGCTGAGCCCCTTTATACAAACCTGATCTGTAGGAAAGCAGGTGAGCTGGGGGTGCCGGCACGCTCAGCTCCCATCCTGCACTGCAGACCCTGTTCACCAGGTTCCTGCCATGCCCACCTGCTCGGCTGTCTGACGCCGGGCACCCTGTGTGGGCCCCTCCTGTCCGCGCATATCCATGGGCTGTGGCCATGGGCACATGTGTCTGCCCTTCCTCCCTTCACCCAGTGTTTGATCGCCTCCCTCTTTCTTGTCTCCTCCAGGGAAGCCCCGATTCTGTCTTGGAGAAGGCTCCTATCCTAGCAGTTTGGGGGTGCCATTCACTACTCTGACCGTCACAGGCCTGTTGCTCCATCAGCCACCTGCCCACCAGACCAGCTATCTGTCCCAGTGCCCCGACCGGCACAGCCCTGCCCGCTCCTTTGCCAAGACACCCTGCGAGCCCCTCCCCATCTCTGGACAAGACGTCATTCCTCCAGGCTCCCCTGCTCCTGACCCCCCATGTGCTATGTGTCTGGGTCATTTGTTACCTTGTTTTTGTCTGCAGCAGCCAGTGTTGGGTGAGCAGGGATCTGGGTACTGGGGACTCAGAGAGCCGAGAGGCAGAGCCTGGTGGTGGTGGGGGTGTAGCAGAGGCCCAGAGGGGACTGCGCCTGGGGAGGGACAGCGCCAGGTCCTGGCAGGCAGGCATTTTGTGCTGCTGGAGGGAGCACTTTTCCAGGAGCCGAATCTATAGCTCCTGGAAGATGTCCTGGTAGAAGTCGGCTCTGTCGCTCCCAACATCTGTTTGCTTCTGTGCTAGGAGCTTCTTCCCCATCTGCTGACGGCTGCCAGGGCCTCTGTCCCTACTGCCCGGGCATGGCCGGGTGAAGCTGCCACAGGGCTGGGCATGTGGGAGTGGGCACCACACTCTTCCTCACGGCCTCATTCACACAGGCTCCTGTGTGGTTGCTGTGGGCGAGGCCGGAGCCAGTCTCTCCCTTTGAGCAGATGCTTTTCCCACGAAGGGGTGGGCGCCAGGAGAGGAGGAGCTGGGAGGGAGCGAGGCAGTGAACGCCTGGGCCTTGGCTGGAGACCCTGAGACCCAGGCCAGGATCCCTGTCCTGTTGGTGGCGGAGGTTCGTAGGTTTGTGGGGAGTCACTGCAACCCACCTCTTGGTGAGAGCGGGGAGGTGAGGTGGGAGGACTCAGGTGCGGTCAGGCCTTGGTGTGGGTGGAGAACTCAGGTGAGGGGAAGGGGCGGCCTCCTTCTGCGTTTATGTTCTGGCATCTGTGGGAGGCCCAGTGCGGCCTGGGGGCTGTGCCCTTTGGCTCTGTCGGGCTCGATCCCCCCCTTTTGCGCCCTCCCCCCCCAGTCTCCTCTTCCCCTCCCCCGCTGTGGGGCTACAGGCAGCTGTCACATCGGTGGGATTCCTGCAGCCTGGGCCCCAGCTGGTGCAGTTGAGACACCTTCTGCCAGGGCCCCTCAGCCGGAGCCACCTCCCCGGGGAAGAGCCAGCGCCACATTCTTCCTCGAGGCTCTCTGTGGGCAGCCCCCTCCTGGCTGCTCACCACCCCCGAGTCTTCGGGGGGTTTCTGGGTGTCCTCCAGGTACAACGGAGTCTGAAGAGCAGACCCTGGAGGTGCTGCGGTTTCAGGTGCCCCTGGGCCCTCTGTGACACGGGCTGCCAGGCCCTCACGGGCGGATGACAAGGTTTCCAACCCGACGCTCTATGTGCAGCGGGTCTGGGCTGATTCCCGAGTCGAGGCATAGAAACGTTACCCCTGCTGTTGTGACGGTTCCCCATTGCTTTAGCAACGAGAGCCAAACCTCGGGCCCTCGTCCCCCACTCACGTGGACCCTGGGGGATCCTGTCTGCAGGCTGGTGGGCCTCTCCCCTCACACTGTCTGGGAAACGTGTTTACTTCAAGTCCTAGCCCCGTAGAATGTATTCTAGTTAGGAGGTCAGCACATGTCTGCGTAGAGTGGATTAAACGTTCCTGCAGCAGCACACGCTGCTGCGACGAGGCCGGCAGGTCCTGGCAGCGTCCTGTCGGCTGGGTTCCTGAAGGAACTTGGAAGGTCGAACTGCATTTCTTTAAAAACAACCCCAGGCTTCTGGCTTGCTTCTCTGGAGAGCTGGTGTTTGCAGCTGCTGGGTGGTGGTGCTGTGTTCGTGGTCTGGGGGGTCCTCTGGGGTTTCCAGGTGGTCCCCACTCTGTCCCGCTTGGGAACCTCATACCCACCTTCCC